CCCCCTTATCCAGCTAGGCCCTTTGATTCGTGAAATTATGCATACTAACTATAAGAAATAATTACTAGATAAAGCATTAATACCTTAATCAGTAATCAATTATTTTCAACTAAGATATCAAGTAGTGAAGTACGTATACATTAAAAAAAAAATAATATTTTTTACTTTTTCTTATAAAAAAGTAAGGGAAACTACACAGATCTTAATAAAGACTCAGATATTAATTACTGTTTCTTTAAGATACTAATTCAATTCATAAAATTTTATAACAGGACATTTTACACATATTTACATTTGTTATTTGTAAATGGTTTTATTAAACACAACGAAATCATGAAATTCTATTCTAAAGGTCTGTGTGACGAATAAAAAATTTTAATAACGTGGTTATATCATAATACAATATTACATACCTAAAATAATCTACATACGCGTATTTTTTTAGAGAATAATCGGTTTTGTATCGAGCATTCTTCACACTTTCTCGTACTTATATTCTTCCACATTCATACTGGATTAACAAAATTCTGCCATTACAAAGTATACCACGTCGTACTTCTGTTAATTTTTGAGCTATCAATTTCCATTACTATTTTCTTAATGTGGCCAAATTAGTCGAAATTAACATATGTTTTAAAACTTTTTGCATATAACGATACAAAATTTGATAGCAACAGTCCTATAATGCAAGCAGTTATGTACAGAATTTACAATTTCACTTGCATTTATAAAATTGTAATTGGATGCATAATAAATAAGATACTATGTATATTATTTCCTTGTAAAAGTTTACATTTACATGTTTACGTTTTTAAATTATTTATTAGTACGAATTGAAATTAAAAAATTCTTGATCTTTTTTGAAATTCTTTATGGGGTCATCCAAATAGGAATTACGACCATTGAAGTTTTCATCAATACTTTACCTTCTCAATTTAAATTGAAGTATGCATTATAGTAATTCACGTATGGTCCAAAATTAACATATCAAAACTACACTGCCCATTTTCGATACTAATTTGTTGCACGGCTTATAACGACGTATTTTACTTGACTGCGCAAGATTCGTACTCCTACAGCTGTGTGTAAACAATTAATTTTTTATCTGAATATAATTAATTTATTTTACGCAAATATAATTTTTATTTGAACGTAATTAATTCTTCTCCTCTTTCTTTTCTCCCCTTTCTTCCTGTTGTTGCTCTTGCTGTTGATTTTGTCCTTCCCGTTCAGCAGCCATCTATTTATAAGTAAATAAGTTGTATATGAAATACATTAAAATGATTAAATATTTACGATTAACAGTTATCTAAATTAGGTACCTTCTTGTATGCCATTTCGAACAATTTGAGACTCGCTTGCTGTAATTCGTTTGTTTGCCTCTTAATTTCTTCCGGTTCAATATCGTCTTTTTTACCTAATGTCTCTCGCATTTTCGCAACCAATTCTCTAAGTTTATCACACTGTAAAAAAAGATTAAATAATAATATGGAAAAAGGAACAAATTGGCGTAATTTAATATATCACTGTCTCATATGTGGCTTTACCTCATCTTGCGGTAATTGTGGTTTGAATTCTTCCAATTTCGATTCCGTATCGTGAATAATACCTTCAGCTTGATTCACAGCTTCAACTCTTTCCTTTTTGATTTTATCTTGTTTGGCGTATTGTTCAGCATTTTTCACCATATTTTCGATCTCATCTTTGCTTAGACCGCCACTTGATTGAATGACGACTGTAAGTAAAAATAAAAAATTGAAAGATGAAGTATAATTTATATGGCAACTGTTCAAATTAAAATTATTTATCAATTAATCTATACACATACTTTGTTGTTCCTTTCCAGTTCCTTTGTCTCTAGCAGATACATGAACAATACCATTAGCATCGATGTCAAACGTAACTTCTATTTGTGGCACTCCTCTCGGCGCAGGTGGAATTCCAACAAGAGTAAATTGTCCGAGGAGTTTGTTGTCGGAAGCCATTTCTCTTTCACCTTGATGTACTTTAATTTCTACTTGAGTCTGACCATCGGCAGCTGTGGAGAACACTTGACTCTTTTTGGTAGGAATAGTCGTATTCCGGGAAATCAATCGGGTGAAGACGCCACCTAATGTCTCGATTCCTAAAAAAAGAAAATATTAATTTTTAGCGACATTCTAAACATATTTAATGAGGTGTACATGTATTTCATTAATCAAGGTAACTCAGCTGAGTGCACTCTTCATTCTGATATCAGAGAGAAGATTAGTTCTTATAAACATCATAGTTTAAAAGCAATATAATTCAAATATATAGAGAAACAATTATTTACCAAGTGATAAAGGAGTAACATCCAAAAGAAGAACGTCCGTTACATCTCCCGCAAGTACACCACCCTGAACTGCAGCACCAACTGCTACAGCTTCATCAGGGTTTACAGCCTTTGAAGGTTGTCGACCGAAAATGTCTTGTACAGTTTGCTGAACTTTAGGCACTCTCGTCATGCCACCAACCAGTAGTACTTCACCAATATCAGATCTTGTTACTTCAGCATCGGACAGCGCTTTTTGACATGGTTGAATGGTACGTTTAATTAACTCGCCAACAAGGCTCTCAAATTTACTCCTTGAAAGCTTCAGGTTTAAGTGTTTTGGACCACTCGAATCCATCGTTAAATAAGGTAAGTTTATATCAGTTTGTAAGGAACTAGATAATTCTATCTTTGCCTTTTCAGCTGCTTCTTTCAATCTTTGCATAGCCATTGCGTCCTTAGCTACATCTATACCTTGCTACAAAAGAAAATAATTCTAAAATACTGTACATAATTTGATAAAACTGTACAAAACAGAAGAATCATTTCAATACGTATATACATACATCTTTCTTAAATTCCGATACAAGATAATTAACCAATGCATTGTCAAAGTCTTCTCCTCCTAAGAAGGTGTCTCCGTTTGTAGACTTCACTTCGAACACCCCTTTTTGAATTTCCAAAATAGAAATATCAAAAGTACCACCTCCCAAATCGTATACTGCAATACTAAAAGATATACGTTAGATTTCTCTTTTGTTAACATAAATGAAAGTGAACATCACTGAATAAATCAGTAAGTGTCTTCAGCATAATACAGTGTTTCTAAGAGACGAAAAATAATGACATCATTCTCATTGGTATAGTGTATAAATATATACATCCTATGTCAAGATACTACGATTCTTACATTTTATCTTCTGTCTTGTCCATTCCATATGCAAGGGCAGCAGCCGTCGGTTCATTAATTACTCTAAGTACATTAAGACCGGCAATTTGACCAGCGTCTTTGGTAGCCTGTCTTTGTGAATCGTTGAAATATGCAGGGACAGTAATTACAGCATTCTTCACCGAAGTATTTAGATATGATTCTGCTGTTTCTTTCATCTTTATGAGTACAAATGCACCAATTTGACTAGGGGAATACATTTTACCATCTCCTCCTTGTACCCACGCATCTCCATTAGAAGCTCGAACAATTTTATAAGAAACAGATTTCCTATAAAGTAATACTTACACTATTATTACCACGTTACTGTAAAATACTGATAGAATATTGATAAATAACATTCCTATGTGTACATATGTACTGATACATACATATCTTTTTTTACTTCAGGATCTTCGAATTTTCGTCCAATTAGTCGTTTCGTAGCGTAGAATGTATTTGCTGAATTTGTGACTGCTTGACGTTTAGCTGGCATACCAACCAAACGTTCACCTTCTGAAATTACAAACGTTTCATTTTGTTTTTTTAAATGAAGACTGCAAAATAATATTTTAAATTAAATATGTTCTAAAATCTTATATTCCTATAATGAAAATTTTCAGATTAAGAAAACTATAAGGTTAGACGACTTAATGATCTCTGGCTATCATAAGATTCATTGAGATTCAGGAACTATATTGTCATATATATATATACCACACACGGTAAAACTAGTAAATGATTCTGTGATATATATTCTAAATATTGCTCGTTTACTATGCACAGTTACAATAAAGAAACATATTTGTTTGAGCAATAAACTGGTTAATGTATTTAGCAATGATATAGTTCCAACCTTTGGTAAATGCTACATAAGATGGAGTTGTTCTTGATCCTTCTGCATTTTCTATAACTTTAGCTTGTTTTCCTTCCATAACAGCTACACATGAGAATGTTGTTCCCAAATCGATACCAATAACTGCACCTTTGACACCTTCTGATCTAAGTGAATAAATAATGATTCCAATGATCATATTTACTGATATAGTATTACATTATTGTCAATTATACATGAAAACTAAATATTTAACTAATTCAATTATGTAACATCTATTTACTTGTGTCGATATTGATGCAGATCAGTAAATCGTTGGGGTATGTTGAATGTAGGAGCCGCAGCCTGAAAAATATTTTAATATATAAGTACCAAACATATACAGATAGAATTCATAATTCTTGTTAAATATAACATTTAATGTACATGTAAATATTTATAGTATTATGCTTTTTCATAAAATTGACATAAATATATCGATAGAAATTAAATGAGAAAATGATCACGTGCCGGCAGCGAAATCGGCAATGTTTAAATTTCATTTAAAGGAACAATGGATAGATGTACGATACGGGCAAAAAGAAAAGATAAATGTCACAACTTTAATCTCATACGGCATAATCAATTGGTATTAACAACGTGCAAAGGTAATACGGCGAGAAAACGTTCGGCAAATAAGACTAAACGGCGTGTCGTGAACCACCATCAGAACTTACATTTTTTAGTATTGTGCTGAATTGTTGTTTCCTGGCGATGTCGCAGGTTATACTACTACAGTTACGTGTTAACAACCTGGCAGCTGTAAGCATCTTGATTTGAAACGTTTTATCGGTTTAATTTATGAAAAACCTATAACGAGACGCGGACACCCCAACTTCACGTGTAGTGATGCAACCTTCACAGAGACTTCTAATGCGCATACTATGAGCGTAGTAGGAGACTTCCACTTCGTGAACCAATGTGGGAAACCTCTATTTAACCAATCAAAATTTGGTTCTCACAGAATGGACCAGTCAATGCGTTGCCTGGCCTTCTCGTATTTCGTCACTCGAGAATTATCCCGAATATTCTACTATAATAGATACCGTAATCACTAATCAAATTTGATATAAAAGATTAAAATCTCGGTTAAGTAAATTATATAAATGCCCATTTAAATTATGTACGATTGTGATTAAAATTACCATCTGTTGTTACATTGCTATGCCAAACAGATATTGTTCAACAACTAAAAACATGTGCGGATATTACGGTTTATCGTTTCCGGAATTTAAAAGATGATCTGCTATCACGTGTAATAGTTCACGTGTATTAGTTGCGTGTAATAATTTAGTCAAAATAATATTTTAAATTAAATATGTTCTAAAATCTTATATTCCTATAATGAAAATTTTCAGATTAAGAAAACTATAAGGTTAGACGACTTAATGATCTCTGGCTATCATAAGATTCATTGAGATTCAGGAACTATATTGTCATATATATATATACCACACACGGTAAAACTAGTAAATGATTCTGTGATATATATTCTAAATATTGCTCGTTTACTATGCACAGTTACAATAAAGAAACATATTTGTTTGAGCAATAAACTGGTTAATGTATTTAGCAATGATATAGTTCCAACCTTTGGTAAATGCTACATAAGATGGAGTTGTTCTTGATCCTTCTGCATTTTCTATAACTTTAGCTTGTTTTCCTTCCATAACAGCTACACATGAGAATGTTGTTCCCAAATCGATACCAATAACTGCACCTTTGACACCTTCTGATCTAAGTGAATAAATAATGATTCCAATGATCATATTTACTGATATAGTATTACATTATTGTCAATTATACATGAAAACTAAATATTTAACTAATTCAATTATGTAACATCTATTTACTTGTGTCGATATTGATGCAGATCAGTAAATCGTTGGGGTATGTTGAATGTAGGAGCCGCAGCCTGAAAAATATTTTAATATATAAGTACCAAACATATACAGATAGAATTCATAATTCTTGTTAAATATAACATTTAATGTACATGTAAATATTTATAGTATTATGCTTTTTCATAAAATTGACATAAATATATCGATAGAAATTAAATGAGAAAATGATCACGTGCCGGCAGCGAAATCGGCAATGTTTAAATTTCATTTAAAGGAACAATGGATAGATGTACGATACGGGCAAAAAGAAAAGATAAATGTCACAACTTTAATCTCATACGGCATAATCAATTGGTATTAACAACGTGCAAAGGTAATACGGCGAGAAAACGTTCGGCAAATAAGACTAAACGGCGTGTCGTGAACCACCATCAGAACTTACATTTTTTAGTATTGTGCTGAATTGTTGTTTCCTGGCGATGTCGCAGGTTATACTACTACAGTTACGTGTTAACAACCTGGCAGCTGTAAGCATCTTGATTTGAAACGTTTTATCGGTTTAATTTATGAAAAACCTATAACGAGACGCGGACACCCCAACTTCACGTGTAGTGATGCAACCTTCACAGAGACTTCTAATGCGCATACTATGAGCGTAGTAGGAGACTTCCACTTCGTGAACCAATGTGGGAAACCTCTATTTAACCAATCAAAATTTGGTTCTCACAGAATGGACCAGTCAATGCGTTGCCTGGCCTTCTCGTATTTCGTCACTCGAGAATTATCCCGAATATTCTACTATAATAGATACCGTAATCACTAATCAAATTTGATATAAAAGATTAAAATCTCGGTTAAGTAAATTATATAAATGCCCATTTAAATTATGTACGATTGTGATTAAAATTACCATCTGTTGTTACATTGCTATGCCAAACAGATATTGTTCAACAACTAAAAACATGTGCGGATATTACGGTTTATCGTTTCCGGAATTTAAAAGATGATCTGCTATCACGTGTAATAGTTCACGTGTATTAGTTGCGTGTAATAATTTAGCTTTGTAGATATAATGTATCATAACTATTTTCGAATACAATACATATTATTTGATTTAAGTAATTATATAGATCCTTATCGTTAAATTTATAAAAAAAAACTTAGAAAGAATATAAATAATATGGAAAAGAAATATGGAATGTGTACATATATTATACTTATATGTAAATAAGAAATTTGTTTACAGATTTACTAACACATTTTAATTAATAATAACTAACATATTTTAATAAATAAAATACATTGATGGATATTTATTACAGTTTTGTAAAAATAGTAAATATACAATAATCTTAGCAAAAATATATATATATATTATTAGTAGGATTTAAAAAGACAAAATGATATAACTCTTGATAACTTTATGTATGTATACTTATTTAATTATAGGTATGCTTATTATGTAATATAGTAGAACTACGATTATCTGAACTAACTAATTGCAGTTAAGATGGTCGGCAAATCAAATTTTTCGGATAATCGAGCGGTACATCATTAATATATATTTCACAGAGAAACTTATATTTCAAATATTACATTTTACTCGCGTTACTCTGATTTGTTTTAATTATCTTTGTTCTCTCAATTTTTTGTGCTATTAAATTGCACATTTTTCTTATGTTCATAATTCAACAGGAGCATTTTCTATTTGGGCTTCATACTATCTGATATCCGTCTCTGATGCTATAAATTTCTCAGTTCTCCTCTTCTTTTTTGACAAAACCATTCATATACAGTCATATAAAGGATTTTATCGGTAGCAAATTTTATACTTTTTCGTATGAATTTCGTTGAAGCCTCGCTACAATTCATGGTTTCACGCTTCGTCTCTTTATGTCATAAACTGTTGATTTTCCACTCCTGTAAGAAGCTGCTACTTCAATTATGATTTCACCATTTTCCAATCGAATTAGGCGACTCACTTATAACAACATTTGTAAATTATCAATTTTGATAATTTTCAGTTACAAAATATTTTAATATGTTTCGAGCAGAAAATAAAATGTATGAATTTTGTAATGTTAAATGTCCTCATAACAGTTATACAATTATATAAACAACAATATTTAACAATATTTTAACTATACAAGATGTTCGGCTACTGATGGGAACAGTTTTAAGAGGTAATTCTAAAAGTTAAAGTATGGCAAAACTCAAGAATGAACAAATTGTGTCCGAGGCTCCAGTTTTTAATTAGCAGCAACTAAAAATTGCACCTGATAGTAGATAAAGCATATCGCCTGTGAATCTCAGGCGCAATATGCTCTTAAAACTCCAAATGCTAACATATCTTCTAGCGGTTACCGGTGTATTGGGCACATTGCATTTTGGAGATCATTACTAATTCGAGGATCGTCACCGTGTAGGTAGTCATCCGCAAAGTACAACGTTCCCGATGTAACTGTAACCAATTGCAATTTTATTATTCGTGATTTTTACCTCGTTTTGGCTTCTAGGAACTTCTCCCACAATTTTTTCCGCCAGTAGTCAACTATCCTGCATTACTATACATATAAACGCTGTTCTCCACTTAATAGAATATAAGAGACAATATTTGTTTATGTACAATTACAGACAATAAAAAACATTTACGAATCGTTTTTTTCTTTCCAAAGAAAAAGATTTGGTGATCCACTCATGTGTACCGTGCAATTTATCATTTCGTTCCTAGAAATTACAATTATCTGTTACTAAACATGTATCTGTTACTAAACATTACAAACGAAACTACTTACAAAAATCGATCTCTCAGAAGAAACGCTCTAGGTTGCATCCAATGTATTCTTTCACCATTGTAGCATAAAATCTGTGCCATTGTTACTTTCCGAATTTCTTCTAATTGACTTAAGGTAAACGATCCCGGACTGTTTGCATTTTCATACCAATATCTATCACCTGAACGATGCGAGAAAGTTAAGTTTGCAGTTTGATTATCAAAAATAATAATGATTAATCACGAATGAAAGAAGTTTCTTTACCAGAACGAATATTCCGAAAAGTGCGACCCAATAAACATAGAAATGTAGGTCCTAAAACTGAGTCGGATAAAGGTGCCTCCGAAAGTAATCCTGTCACTAAATCTATATCCTGTATATTCCTAAAAATGGTAGGAGTTAAAGTAATTAATAATAGTATTATCGTAGTTAGAAATATTCCCTCACCTATAAACATTTCGTAATCTTTCTATAGTATCTTTGGTCATCGTTCCTCTGAGACTTTCGAAATTAGCGGTGTTTGGTAAATTGCAGAATGTTCGCCACCTGACATAGGGCGGCAAACCGTGGTCCCTTCCCTGTTGTATGATTTGTGCAGCATAATCCACAGCGATATCATTGCTCTTTCCATCATGAAAGTATCGTTCCAGCAGGATTTCATTTAGTCCCGGTGGTGATGGCTTCCTAGAATGTCCCGCTATCGCGGAAATTAAATCTTGCATCCTAAACCGCCATTAAAACCAAGTTCTCATATGGGATAATATGTCAGTATGTGAGCCAATATCGAAAAATGTATTAATATAACAATTGTATCGTTATAATAGAAATGTTAAAAGTTTGGCATTTAAAACACTATGAATAAATACGAACGACATAGACACGTGCTATCGCTTCAATGCTATTAATTAAATAGTTCGATAAAAAAATAGTTCAAATATTTTTTTGTTACATACTTTCTTTTAGTGTTGATAAAAAGTAGAGTATAAAAAAATATTGCGTTAGGAACAACTTTAAATTTGTTCTTAAGTGTAGTTCAAACTGGTTTAAAACTGTTTACCAAATCAACGATTGTGAAATTACTTTTGGACTATAAGAAACAATTTTAAAACCTCTAGTTTCGAAACTGTTCTGAATTACATGGTTTTTGGTCCGGATATTAAGAAATGAGGATATTAGGTATTCGTAGATACTACTCGACGGAACTGTGTTTACGTGAACTAAACTGACCTGTAGCGCCAGCGATTAAACGATCAATAGCACCAGCTTCATAGATCTCTTGCGGAGCGTAGAAGGCCGATAGTAAAGACCTTTCTCCAGACTTCAACGCCGATCGCGAGTCAACTAGGTCGAAGGTTTTTGGGGTCAGCGTGGCAATGAAGAAGAGCCCAGCAGACGCAGCAACGTTCGAAAGTGTCGCATCCGTTCGTTTGTTATAGCCCCGAAAGTAGCCTCGATGCGTTAAGCGCAGCTCGTATCTTTCATTTGAAAATTGATTAATTTTATTACACATATCCTTTTGTGTAACATGTAACGCAAAATAAATAGACTGCGGATTTTTATGTAATTAAATATTTAAAGTAGAGTTTCAGGGAATAAAATCTAAATATGTTCTCCTTTCACGTATTGTTCCTGCATACCACGTGCATTATTTTCATCATATTTATATGTGTTATAAATTCAAAAAATTTGCAGTCTAAATATAAAAGTTATGTGAAAAATCTTTTATCTTTTACGTACGAAGTTGTTTAAAAAATGATTAATATTTAAATCATCTTCAAAAAAGGCACTTTTAACACTTCTTCACAAAATTTTTAAGGATTTAAGTTGGCTTAGCTGTAAGTTACGAATCAATAGAACAATAACTACCTTAATTACTACAAGTGAAAGAATAACATATCTGCCTTATGATTTCTTGAACGAATGAGACGTCAATCCATCAAATTAATTTATTTGTAAATTACATAAAGCCGAAGAGAGAAGACGTACTTGTCGAGAGTTGTTTCGCCGAGAACAACAGGTAGAAACTCATTATAAGTTATATGCTCCATTTCCGCGATAACAATCCTCCTTGCTTCATGGTAAAGTCTCTCGTCGTCCCAATGAGAATTCAATCGACCCAACTCCGTGGAGACTCGATTGTGTTCGCGCAGGAAAAGTACATGCATCAAAGTTAGGCCAGGATTTTCGTTTATCCGTGAGTCCCCACTGAAGAAACACGGGAATGCTTTGCTCGTGCTTCGGCAACTTTCCAATTTTAATGAAGGCATCGGCAAGTTTTTTCTTTGCGTATTAAGTAAACCGCCCCTGCCGGATCGCAGAGCCTTTGCTACTTCTTCTGAACTTCCGTACAATGGGGAGAGGTCTAAATACGATGAAGCTTGGTTGATTTGTTGCCGAGGACCCAATTTGCACCCCTATGTTGAAAGGTACTTTTATACTCCATATACTACTTTTGGCTGACTCGTCATTCTCTTGAGTCAATTTACTTGACTTCCACCCGCCTGTTTATTACCTGTAGTGAATTTCCTGGGTGTGGCGCGGACCTAGAATATTCCATGCAACCGATTGCGTTGTCGGCACGAATCGGAAAGCATTCTGGATGAAAATGTTCGTAACCGACATTGCAGCATTTCAACTTGGCACCATCGGGCAGTTCCATCTTTGGCGTGTGCGCGAGATCGTGAATTAGAAATTGACCGAACAATGCAGTAAGCGCCATTAGATATGGATGTTTAACGTCCGATCCACCGGAATGTACTTTCAAGGAAACATCCCTGGCGCTAGGCAGATCCGTACGTGGCAGAGAAACACCGTCGATGTACTCGGGTGGTAAAAAACGCACGTAAGCTTCCAAAGCTGCGCCCCATGTTGAGTGCAACCCATTATTACATTTTCCGCTGTGCGTTCTGTACCGAGGATCTACATTTTTACAACTGGCCATCACTTCCAAGAACGTAGAAGACCCTGGACAATTGATAGCGGCTACGGACGTTAACATGGAGGATGCTTCTTTCGATGACATGTTCAAAGCTTCTACCAACGTTACTGCCATCGCTTCGATCCGTAAAGCTTTCCTTGACAGGTTTTGAGCGTGCTCGGTCATTTCATGCGACGCACCGAGGAACCACGACGGCGAACCGTAATTTAAGTGCGTACGCGAGTTCAGAATCGCTCGTTCTGCTTGATTGTACTTTTCCATTGAAATGTTCGTACGCTTACCAAGGTCTCGCAACATATTTGACGGTAGAATCGTACCTTCGGCGAATACGAGCATGACAAGGAATCTGTGAATCGGAATCTAAAGATAGGAAATATAGACTTGTTCTTACGTAAAATTACAAATGGTTCAATAAAGTTTTTTAATCGATTGTAATGAAGTATATTATTTGAATTATTTCTAATACGAAATATTATTGAATTAAACGCATAGAAAACTTAATAGCAGTCATAGACGTTTAAAAGAAAAGCTGTGAGAACCGAAAAGGCTTGCTCAATACCAAGTACAACTTCTTACAGCAGTTCTATTATTATGCATAGTTTCTCCAAGAGTAATCTCATTATACGGGCGTCATCAATTATCTGTAATAAGGCTGGAACTATGCATGAACCAAATGCTTTCAGTATCGTGAGAGCGGAAAGGAATGGTCTACTTTTTGCTGTAGAGAGTGTTTATTGCTGAATTAAGTACCTGAGGATGTTTTACAAATCCGAAAGCAATTTTTATTATTCCAAGAGCAGAAAATACATTTAATTAACGCCATACAAAAGTTTCGCGGTATTACGAGTCTACTGAGCATTAACATTGTGAGAATATATATCTAATAGAATGCTAGAAACCCCATGGGTTACAACTTCCACTTAAGGCGAACTCGTGAGAAATCGTATGTAACTTCTATTATATGGCAGTGCACCATCATGTTACCTAATAATTGTCATGTAAATTCAATGGTTGTCTTATTTCCTAACTCGACAATGACGCGATAGGATCAACCATTAAAAACACAATTATAGGGTTGGGCGCGTTCGAATTAGAATTTCTCGCCGTTGCATATTATGTATATAGAACTACATGTATAACTAATCTTTCACGCGATAAAAACACGAGAAGAGTTCGAGTAGAATTCGCATGATTTTCCTGATAAATTAGCCTTTTCGTTACTAGAAGAAAGAAACGGATTCACCGATACGAAGCGGATCGCGTGACTTGCTTCAACATTTATCGCAAGAGCTGCAATGAACCTCGCGAGACCTTGTATAGAGGATGGTATTTCGCCTCATTTTACTTGTCCTATTGTTCGTCGTTCATGTTAAATTCATTCGTCGCTTCACTCAAGTAACATCCCGTTAGTCGTTTCTGGCAACCAATAGTTAAGTATTTTTTTGCTATCAAAACGATGTAGTATGCTGTGCATAAATGGAACAAATTCGTCCGATCTTAAGAGGAGATCTGTTTGACATTTAGGATCTTCCTGGTTGTTTTGTGATTCTCTTATGTAACGTTCTCTGTTCCCATGATTAGTACCCATATAAAGCGATGGAAGCTGTTACTCGGGGCTGTGATCTGTTCTCATTAAAGAAGTTTCATTTTGCTTCGACATTTAATTTGATAATGTTAATTTTGTGAAATTGTTGTGTTAATCTCTAGTGATTGTTTTGCTATTTTTTATCTTTCTATATTAGTATCATTTGTGAATATCGTGTGAAATCTTATGACTCTTACATCCAATACAATTGTAAATAAAATAAATTCGAATTCTATATTTAATATTCATAACTAATAATTTAACATTTTACAGTATATTTTGATTTTACTCATTATATGTCTTGTTAAAAATGCGTCTACAACCGATTGACAGACAATACAAGCGGAGTGTTGCTAATTAACACAGCTCTTTTTTATATACTCTACAACACCTACTATGATATTTTATTGATATATTATTTGACATAATTTTTAAAACATGAGTAAAAATCAATAAAATACTGTCCTACAATAAAATTATTTGATATACGCCAATTTGATTCGTTGACAAAAAATACTCAAATGTATGATGTATCTTAATATTTGTACCGGTTATCACGCAAAATGAAAGCAGAAATACTTACCGCGCAAAAAAGACAAATATACTGTTGATTAGTGATCTTCTCGCACGTATCGTCATTTTTTCAACACTATCGCACATAATGATAATGGATAACACGTAACAAAACATCGATTATGTTAATGCCCGATAAGGAATCATTCGCCTACAGTAGAACGATTTGCGACGAGTATCTATAGGTAGACGGGAACGCGAAGCGACAAACCTGAACTGGAGAGACGAGAGACCGATCCTCGAACGAAAGTAAAACTTGAATCCATCCTAAGTATGCGCTAAGTCTGAAGAGTGGGGCCCAATCTAAGGATAATGTTAATACAGGGTGTCAACAATGCACAGCGCGCTGCAAGCTATATAATTTGCAAGCTAAATAAATTGTGGTAGTATTATCCTTAACTCATAGTAATTTATACTTTTAATGTTAAACTAATTTTGTTTAAATAAGAAAAAAATGATAATAATATAAGAATATAAAATGTGACAAACATTTACTGTATAGATGTTTATTGCATACAACATTAATCCGCTAATCAATTAATTAATCAGTTAATTATAATGTTCTTATACGAAATACAATTGAATAGTGCTGGGGTCAACGCCATTCGGATAATACAGGCACACCTGTTATTTCCATGTCCCTATGTTTTTAAATTTAGATAAGCGAGAACAGCATTCGGATAAATAGAAGCCCGCATCCTTTCCCCATTTCGCTATGTCCGGATAACTGATTGAACTGATCGAAAAACGAGAAAAAGTGTATAAATCCCCGCAAAAAGCATTTGATTTTAATTAGCTTCCTGATGGTTAAGTAAAAGTTCGTCAAATTTTTCTCGTGTTTTGACCATTGTACGACGTTGGTTTTGAATTGGTTCGAATACACAAAGTTCTATTGTGAATATGTTGTGCCTGTCCCATATTTTTATTCCAATGCTGCAAATGTTCTGATTATTTAATTAACAATTAACAGGATCATTTATATGAAACATGTTTACTTCACTACAAATGATGCGGAATTTAAAAAATAACAATAACTCATAATATCGTACAATGTAAAAAAGCTCATGTAAAAAGTCATGAACGCATGTAATGTAAAAGTAGATGAAAATTTTACATAGATGAGCGTGGTAAATTTTCTTAGTTCAGTGTATACTACTGTTTGACATTTACCAGCAGTGGCATTTTACATACATTAATTACGTAATTACCACGTAGTAATTACGTACGAAAACGGAAAGATACTTGGTTCTCGATTCAGGCATTCATAACTTTAAAAATATTAAAAACACTGTTGTATTTATTTTATATTTCTATTATGCCAAAGTTATAGAAATATGAGTAGAAATTAGGACGCGAGTAGGGATTGAGATGTTTCTTCTTCTTCAACTTCATTTTTAGGTGATGATTAAAGATTATAAAAATAGAAAAAAAGAACCAACGATACACGGAGTTCCCACCCGGTCACTCATCCAAGTACATACTACCCATACCCAGCGCATCTTAACTTCGGTGATCAGACAAGAACCGGTGTTTTTTTTTTTAAATTTTTTATTTATATGTCACATGATACGTAGTATTTTGCATAAATGGGAAAATAAACAAAGAAGCCAATCTTTTAATCCTAAACTTACAATTAGACAGAATAGCTTGCTGCGCTCGTTGCTATCTAATATTAAAATAATATAAGAGAACTGTATTTGGTATAAAACTAATCCGTCTATTATATATTACCTAATTACCTATAAAACTGTGAACGAGAACCAGTGTTCATCCTGCCTGTTAATACGGGTAATACAGGCTGGTACAGGGCAGGGTTCATATAATTTGTCGCTCGGCCGGAAAGTGGGAAAAACGCGACCATGGTGGGGACGGTGGGGACTGGTACTTGATGGGGGTATGCTAGGCATGGTCAGCGAAGGCGCATGAGGGGAATAGTAGTGGGGATCGAAATATGGGCGAAAAAGAGGGGAAGCGAGCCGTGTGCGACAAATTATACGAACCCTGGGCTGGTGTGTATGATAGTTAAGAGCACGGTCGTATATACAGGTCGGGAAACTCCAATGGTGGGGGTACAGCTCTTATCTGCCACAGTTGTAATTATAAAAGTCGCCACTTGGTCGCCATGTGCTGCAATCAAGTCCTGAAAGCTGCGAAGTAACTGTGTACTCACCATAGAGATAATATAAATAGAGGAGGGAAGCCCATGGATATATGTATTCCTATATCCATGGGGGAGCCATAGGAGTCTCTGTAAGCGGAAAGATTCGGCGAGTAGAGAGAGAGAAAGAATTTGTGGCACTATCTGTTCTTCTCTATTGGCGCATGCGCACTGCTCAGTAGCAGCCGCAGCGACAACAAATTATTTATCTCATTGTACAGAATTATATAGACAAACGATTAAAACACGTAAGTGACAAATTAAGCGACATAAAATATCGAATAAGAGCACTGTACAATAAACTAACTATTTTTAAGGACTAAGGTTAGGATACATTTTGCATATTTTGTTTCGTACAAATATTTTTATATATG